GGAGTAAAAGAAAGTCAAAATTATATACTTTTATTTAAAAAATGTAATAGATACAATAATTTAGATAATATAATTTATATCTACTGTGACAGAAATAGCAAGTATACAATCTTTTATAGCACATTGCATATAACTTGACTAATGCTGTACATAAAAGCAGAACTAAATATTACATCCATAATTCATGCCGCTTACAGCTTGTTATTGATGATTTATTAATGTAAATATAATTAAGATCATTTACACCAATTGCAGTTAATGTGCGGAAGTCAATTAAGAGAAAAATTGAAAGGCAAGAGTATGAAATCAGGATGAAATATATCTAATGTGCATTTTACAAGTGACTGTCAGAATCATATCAAACTGTTTTCTGATTTTCGAAAAGTGATTTTGAATATGATTTAGGTATTTAGTTCAGGTATTTAATTTTGAATAGTTTATTCATTTACGTTACTTTATCAATAGTTAATTATTGAATTCCAAAGAAAGTGTCAATATCTTATATGCTTTATGAAGCAATCCATAATGAAGAAGAAAAACAAAAACGACGAGAAAAGCGGAGATGCAACATGGCGGATAACTACAGATAAGCAGGAAGGTTGTTAAAAATACAAGCACTGGCATTTGGACAACAATTCATCCGGGAATAAAAGTAAGCATCATCTAATATGACTGAACAGTTTCACAAAAGCTTTCAAGGAAAAGGATAATAATGGAGTGTTAAGAAAAGCTTGAATTTTGTCCATCCAGCACTGTTTGCTGAAACTGGCGCGTCTTCCATTAACTCTTGAAGAAAGTTCCTACGATTATAATACATATATAAATGTATATGTATATACATATATATATATATATATATATATATATACATATATATATGAGGCAAACACAATGATGAGGAAAGTTGCCAGAGGGAGCCGAGGCAAGTAAGCAAGGAGGAGAGAGATGAAGAGGGAAAAGCGACGGCCGGCGACTGGTTAGAAACGGAGGCAGAAGCAGGAAGCGTAAAGAAATATCAAGGGGAGAGAAAGAACTCGAGAAGAGAACGAGAAGGGAGAAAGGAGAGCGCAAAGAGACGGACAAGGAGGGAGAGGCGAAAGGCGAGAGGGCGAGAGGAGAAGGTTAAAGGTAGACCAAGGAAGGATGGGTCGTGGGAGGTCAAGAAGAAACCCACAGGTCGAGTGGGCGCGCGAGTCGTCTTGGACAGGTCGGGGGCGTGACTACCTGCGCCTTACCTCAGCCGGGAAGATGATGGCGTCGTCGGCGGCCGTGATGGCTGCTGGGGGCGCTGCTGGGGGAGCCGCGGGGGCGGAGGGGGAGCTCCGGGGGCGGGAACTGCGCTCGGAAGGGGGGAGGGGCGGGGGGCCCGGCGACGCCTGAAGGAGGGCCGGGGGCCCGGCGACGTCTGAGGGAGGGCGGCGGGGGGGAGCACCGCCGGGTCCACAACGAACGTCGGAGTGGCCGGGGGGGCGGCGGCGCTGAAGGAGGGCGGCGGGGCGGGCGGCCGCACCAGCGGGTCCTCCGAAAGCGTCGGGATGGCGGGGGGCCCAACCAGCCCCGGCGGAGGGGGGGCGGGGCTGCGCAGGATGGTGGGGAAGGACGACGGCGTGTCAGGGATGTCGAGCGGTGGCCCCAGGGGCTTCCTGAGCTCCTCGGCGATGGCCTGGCGCTGGTTGAAGGCCGTGCGGACCTTCGCTCGGTTGTCGAACAAGATGTCGGCCAAGATGTAGACCTGCGTGCCGTCATGCAGGCTCGTCACGTCCTGGACGGCCACGCCCCCCACGGTGATGTTGCCTGGAGGAGGGAGAGAGGATTTCAGAGGAGAAAGGCCAGGAGTGTTTAGCACTCTGGCTCGCCTCACTCCTCTTTCACTCACCCGTTCACGCTATCAGATAAATGTTTATTCGGTCCATTCAATTATTCAACAGCTTATCCACCTGTTTTACTCTAATATATGCACCTGCCCTTCCCTACCTGAAATCTATTTGTTTATCCATCCATCCATCTGTTCTACTTTGCTCATGTACCTTGTTCCTGTTGCCGTCCATTCGCCGTCCATCTATCCACTATCCATGTCTCACCCACTTTCCCATCCATGCTTCTCCTACTTGAATCCTGCATCCACTCACACCTCCATCCCTCTCCTACCCTTCTCGGTGGCTCTGTCTCCATCCTTCCATGCGCCCTGTTACTTCCACCCAGCCGTCCACTCTATCCACTATCCACCCCATCCCTACCCACCCTCGTCGCCGCGTCAACTCACCCTCCTTGTCCTTCTTGAAGTAGAGGTCCTTCCCGGTGAAGGTGAGAGCGCGGACGCCGTCTCCCTCCTCGAGCTTGGGGTCCGAGGGCTCAATGGGGTCGAGGACGAGGTGGTCGAGCAGGAAGGTCCTCCGGAGGGCCTGCAGGGGCTTCGACTTCCCGTAGAGAGGGTCGGAGGCGTCCTGGGGGATCAGGTTGAAGTAGGCGAGGGGCCCCGGCGCGAGGATCGTCTTGGCTTCTGCAGGAGGGATGGAGAGAATTTAGGGTTTGTGGAGGGGGGGGGAATTCCTGTGCGAGGGGGCCTTCGCCAGAGAGAGGAGCAGGAGGAGGAGGATCAACAATCTAAAAGGAAAAATGAGCAATAGACAAAAGCATAGGACGGAAACAAAAACAAAAAAAGAAAATAATTTGTGATCATTATAACCCCTCCACAGTCCCCCTCCCAAGTCCACTTTTGGGGTTTGCTTAGAAGAAAGAATATATGTTCCATGTTTATGTTTTTTTCTAAGCGTTCGTGACTATGCATAGTGCCCTGTGTATTTATATTTAAGTACCAAGGACTCTTAATGTGTAGTTTTATAGCTGAGAACTTATGAATGCATTTACTGCTGACTCATACAAGTCATAATAGATTTCCAGATTCCCTGGAATTCTACAACTGTGAGCCAATTTGCTATCTGTGGATAATTAATCCATTTGGTCTTATTGTTCTTTTTTTAACCATTACCAAGATAGCAATTACTATTCTCGTTTAGCACAAACTGCAGGAAATGTATATGAGACAACTACTTGCGAGGAACAGCGGATGTCATTAGTGCTCCCGCGTCTCTGCCATTCCCTTCTGTGACGCTGAAAAGATTGCCCTTTTGTTTACTGCTTGTCGAGGCTCCCGTTTTCTTTGCTTGCCCCGCCAGTCATTGCTGTGGCTGTGTAAGCGTTCCATCTTTCTTTTTGTGTGATTAACTTTATCTAGGGCCATTTTTTGTTTCTTTACCTCTCATTCTCTGTGTGTCTGCCTATTAGTCTGTTTCTCTCTGTCTCTGTCTGCACGTCGATGTATGTCTGACTCACTCACTCTCTCTCTCTCTCTCTCTCTCTCTCTCTCTCTCTCTCTCTCTCTCGTCTCCTCTCTCTCTCTCTTCTCTCTCTTCTCTCTCTCTCTCTCTCTCTCTCTCTCTCTCTCTCCTCTCCTCTCTCTCTCTCTCTCTCTCTCTCCTCTCTCTCTCTCCTCTCTCTCTCTCTCTCTCTCTCTCTCTCTCTCTCTCTCTCTCTCTCTCTCTCTCTCCTCTCTCTCTCTCTCTTCTCTCTCTCTCTCTCTCTCTCTCTCTTCTCTCTCTCTCTCTCTCTCTCTCTCTCTTCTCTCTCTCTCTCTCTCTCTCTCTCTCTCTCTCTCTCTCTCTCTCTCTCTCTCTCTCTCTCTCTCTCTCTCTCTCTCTCTCTTCTCTCTCTCTCTCTCTCTGTACACACATCACACATACACACACACACACACACACGCACAACGCACACGCACACGCACACGCACACGCACACGCACAACGCACACACCACACACACACACACACACAACACACACACACACACACACACACACACACACACACACATATATATAATATATATATATATATATATATATATATATATATATATATATATATGAGTGAGTGTGTAAAACCCCGCCACTACTCCGTGTCTGCGTCCCTCTCCCTCTCTCCCTTTCCTTTCGGGCTCACCTTCAGAGTCGGACTTCTGCCCAGGTGCCGAGAACGGTCGACTCTCGCCCTGTCTTGCTCTGGTCTGTTTATCTAATCGCTGGTATATTTTTTGTTTTTGTTTGCATCTATCGGTCTTGCGTTTGTTGTACGCAGTGCTTTTCTGTTTGTTTGTGCTCGTGATTTTGAGTAAATGGGCGTGTGTGGGCGTGAATGTTCGTGTGTGCGTGTGTGCGTGCGAGTGTGCGTGAGTTGTCCGCGCGCGTGGACGTGAATTCGTGTGCGTGTGTTCCTCGTCCGTCAGGAATATTCGCTGACTCACCCAGAATAATACCACAGAACGTTTTGTTTCAGCCAGTCGTCCGCTGCTTCCTCATAGCCCCCTCCCCTCCCCTTTCCTCCTCGCCGCGTTTCCATCTGAGGAAAGATAATATTCTCTTTACCCTCACGACGCTTGGAGAAAAATGAGCATATTTATGGATTGCAAAGGTTCGTGACGCTGTGGGAACCCTGCTCATCCCCCTCCTTCCCTGCCCCCTCCCCTTCCACTCCCGCTCCCCTCGTACCCCAGCCCCTCCCTTTCCTAATCCCCCCCTCCTTTCCCCTTTCCCCCTCCCCCTTCCCCTTCCTTCCCCTTCCCTTCTCCCACTCTCTTCCTTCTTCCCTCTCCCATCCTCCTTCTCCATTCCTCCCCTGCCCCTGCCCTCCCCCCTTCCACCACCCAAGAACGCGGAAACTTCCTTGGCTTTCCTGCCTGTCTCTGATTGGCTCTTGAGATATGGAGGCGATGGGAAGAGGCTGAGAACTCCGCGCGGGAGGCTGCGGGGAGGTCTTACCATCGCTTTACTATAATTAATATGTTTATTTTATATAAAGAGAGATTTTTTGTCTCTCTTTACCTGTGTTTTTATATAAGTATATGTATATATTTATATACATGCATATTTATAAATGTATATACATACATATATATGTGCATATATGCGTGTGTGTGTGTGTGTGTGTGTGTGTGTGTGTGTGTGT